GTTACGTCACTTTTTACAACATGGCAACCTAGTCTAATTGGCTTCAGTGCTTGGTACAAAATATATATGCACACAAACTACAACTGGTTTTGTATCTGATCGTTGTGGTAACCATGCAGTCATTTTTCTTACTGTTGTTCCATAAGGAACAGTGCCCCGGTGCATTGACACCAGGCAGCTAAGCAGCTTTGATTTATGTCAGTGATCCCAGAACCTTAAAGCGGCAATAAAAATCTCAAACGTACGCATATGGATTAGTTCCGTTAAATGTTTTATATCAAATAAAGTGCTTGTTTAAAAAGATGTGCAAAATGTTAGTGGCCGCTATAAGCTGATTAACATCTACAGCAGGCGTCTCAAATGTAATTTACTTTAGGGGAGGAGGGGGGGGGGGGTGTGAACAGGTCAAGTTGTCTTTTTTTTTTTTTTTTTTTTTTTTTTATTCACATGAGGGCCTCTGATTCCCACTCCCTCACGCACACAGAGATCCATAATCCCAGACATGAGCACAGGTAATTACTTTCTGTCATGCACACAAACTCAGATATGCACACTAACATTCCTATATCCATAATGTAGCAAGGCCAAACTTTGCCCTGGGGTGACTCTGCTAACAGAAACCTCCATTGAGTATTAGGCACATAGTTATGATGTTTCCTGTCTTGTTTACAGTCCACTAACTAGAGAGGGGTAGGCAACCTTCGGAATTTCAGATGTTTTGGACTACATTTCCCTTGATGCTTTGCCAGCATTATGGCTGTAAAAGCATTATGGGAGATGTAGTCCAAAACATCTGGAGTGCGAAGGTTGCCTACCCTACAGGAGTGTGGTAAGGGAGCTGCGAGTGGCCAGTAGTTTGAGACTTTTGCTTTATAAAGTTTAAGTTGCAGTGTAAACTTGGTGCTTAATTGAAATAAAAGGCATGACTTACAAATGCTGGCAGATGCATAGATGTTACAGTTTAGAGACTGATCTTGGTAGTAAGCGCTTTGTGGGAGGCTGAGAGAATATCCGTATAAAGCTACAATTTTAGGAACGGGGATATTGCATCTGTTGGAATTTTAAGCTCTAAAGCATTGGTGTCGAACGATTTGGCTTCCTTGGGCCTTATTGAGTGCAGAGGAATTGCCTTGATCCGCACATAAAATCAATAACATAAATCATTTATATAATAAAACGTCAAAAGCCATTTTCTTAAATTTGTTTTATTAGATAACTCCCTTATTTGTAATCCTTCTGTGGGATTGCCATATTTAAGGATACCAACTTAGGGAGCTACCTACTAAACAAATACACCTATGTATACATATGCACACACACACACACCCAATTACAGACTTATACACACATATTCAGACACACACACATACATTCACAGACCTATACACACTGCCACATACATACACATAAGTAAACAAACAGACATACCAATGCAATCACAGACCCGCACACAGTCACTGACTTATACACACAATCACAGACATATACACAGTCACATACACACATATAATCAGACCTATACACACAGTAACATACAATCACAGACCTGCACATACAGTCACTGACTTATACACACAGTCACATATACATAATCAGACCTATACACACAGTCACATACATACACATATAATCACAAACCTGCACACACAGTCACTGACCTATACACATAATCACAAATCTAAACAATCAGACATATACACACAGTCACATACACACAGTCACATACATACACACAGACATACACATACAATCTTATACATACACACACACACAATCACAGACCTATACACAAAGTCACACACACACATAATTGCAGACCTATACACACAATCACATACATACAATCACATAACATAGATTCACATAATCACAGATATACACAGACAATCACAGACCCAAACACATAATCTTACACACAGACCTCCCCACACACGCACACAATCCCATACAAAACCTGCACAAAAATTACATTTATACACTCAGGTCTTAAGTGGTCCATCCAGCCTCCCTACCTTGCTCTGAGAGGGCTGGAATGGATCCTCTGTCCCTTGTCGCTTGCGGCTGCTGCTGTGCTGGGATCATGGTGCTCTTCCAGCACAGGTCCCTCGCGCACCCAGCGGTGATCCTTATGCCTGGATGATGTCATATCGAGGGGGCTGGCTCGCTGCAGGGCGCACGAGGGAGCTGTTCAGGAGGAGCACAGTATGTGAAGGACTCCCTGATGGCGGGCAGCGCGAATGGCAACTGGGCCGCACTGCTAGCAGTCCTGGGCCACTGATTGGACACCCCTGCTCTAAAGTAACATCATTGCATATTTGCATGTTTTGTCTACATGGGGTATCCAAAGCCTGCACTACAGCTGTTATTGACCTAATTTCTGTCAGTGCGTTTTGCTGGCAGAGGATTACAGGAGTTGTAGTTCAACAGCTGGAGGGAAGAGGTCAGAAACCTTTGCTCTTCATTCTCTGAAACAGTTTATGTAGAGAGTACACTACATGCTGTGAAACAGATTGTGTCCTAGTACTTTGCAGATATATGATCTAACAGCATATTACTGCACGTTGTGGTTGTTGTGCCAATTTGAGAATTTCGTTTATTTAGAGAAGTTAACACTTAGTTTTAACGTTTTTGTTTTATTCAAAGGATGGAAAAAAAGAAGGCACAGATAGATAAAGTAATGAGGCAAAGTGAGTTCACATGACAGCTTGAGAGTTAGGATTGGGGCATGCGATCTGCTAATACAGATTTAGTTAATTAGCAGCAAAACGAACAACTTGAGGCAGATTAAAGCAGAGTGCGTGCTCATAATGCTGCTATTGTGTGCAGCCCAGACAAGCTCTCTTGTTTATAAAGGATATACTTATTGCCCTCCCTATTCCACCCATCCCCCCACCTCGCCGCTTCAACCCACATCACTCATGACTCCGTGTTGCCCTGAATATATAATAATTATAGAACATTCAACCCTAGTGGATTTGTATTTTTTCCGGGTTTTGTGTTTCTTTTTAGCCCTACTACTTCCTGTTATAGCTCTCGGTGCTTTTAATAATATAAACCAGTTGGTTATCTTTAAAAGAGCAAGTCAGATAAATCCTTTTTTTTTATTTTTTTTTATTATTATTATTTTTTTTTTCCTTGCTTCAGGTCAGAAGCCCTACCCCTGCGCAAAATGCGATGCCTTCTTTTCTACCAAATCTAACTGTGAACGCCATCTCTTACGCAAACATGGAGTTGCCAACCTCTCCTTAAGAAGAAACGGTCTAATGCCCCAGTCTAAAGAAAGTGATGTTGGATCCCATGATAGCACAGGTAGCGCACTGGGACTGCTTAGTATGAAGGGTCTTTAACCGATGCTGCATGCAGTGCTTACTGTTGTATAGAATTCACAACCACCGCGCTGGGGCAGCTTGACATGGGAAGGAGATGAACGCAAACTAGATTGGCCTTTATTTAAGGAAGCCAGATGTAAAGTTTTTCTTTGCCTGAGATTCAGGGTAGGAAATAGATGTAATTCTCTTGGTGAGAATAGATTTTAGTTTTATTCAGATTCACCTTTGACAAGGGAAAATTACTTGTAATGGTGAAACTGTCCTTTCAATATTATGGAATTGAGAGTTAAATGTTTATGCTTTCAAGACTTCTGATCCTCTCTGCAGTAATAAGCAGTGCATGGCATTGCGAACAGTATGCTGACATTATGGAGGGAAGCTGTCTTTTCCTCTTTCTTACATCGTCTGAAATATCTTTTCTTTCTAACCTGTGACTGTACATCAAATTTCCAAAGTTAGGTAAAAAAATATTCCAATATACCCCATCCTCCCTGTTCTTCTTTTGTTCCCCCCCTTCAGATCACATCTTTTTATCCCAAAGCATGTTTGCAAAACAAAAAAACAATAGCAGGAAAATCAACCAATCAAAATTACATCTGTGTTCACCAAACTATAGAATCAGACATTGGTGGGATGCAGTAGTGTGCTTAACATAGTAGTTTGCCTAATAATTTTCCTCTATGTCAAGCATGTCAAACTCAAAGCCTAAGACTGGCCAAATAAACAAGGTTTACGTTTATGTGGGCCGCAAAAAAAACAAAAACTCCAGTTTCCATTGAAACGTAGGTTTATTTAGAAAAGTACAGTACAAAAAAAAGTTGCCGAACTGACACTGGACATCCTCGTACTCGGAGGGCTTCAAAATAAACAAGAGTGAATTTATTTTAAGAAATGCATTTGCATATAAACATCGTTTCAGTCCAACTACCTTTACATATTAAGAAATGTTTGGTAATGGGACTGAAATGGTGAATGTATGCTGTTGAACAGCTGTAAAAAACTAATTATGTTATCTTGTTTACTTTGAAGTTCTAAGAGTGTGTTCTTCACTTTGGCTGAGATCATCAAACTATGGGAAAGCATTGGCAGGCTATTGTGCATGTGTGGCAAAACGTTACGCGGCCTATCAGCATCTCCATGGGGAGCATTCAGCGCCTCCATGCAGACCCAATCTAACACACTGCCCTTCCTCCCACTCTAATACATTGACCCCAAATCCAACACACTGCCTCCTCCCTCCACTCATCCACTCCACCATAGACTACCTTCTTCACCCAATCTAATACATTGCCCCTTATTCTAAAACACTGCCCCCACTCTCACCACTCTACTTTAATACACTGCACTCCCTCCCTCCCTCCCCCCAATTTAACACACTGCTCCTCACCCCTCAAATACACTGCTCCCCCTTCCCCATTTTAATACAATGGCCCCTTGACTTCCCCAAATGCATATACTTCACCCTCCCTCCCATTAATACATTGCCCCTTCCCTCTCTTAAATTAATACACTGCCCCCACCACTACTCTCCACTGCTCTCTCCCCAATTTAACACACTGGCCCCCTCCCTTACGTTAGTACACTGCCCTCCCTCCCTAAAATACATACACGTGCCCCCTCCCTCCCCCAAATTAATACACTGGCCCCCTCCCTCCCTCAAATGATTAATTTGAGGGAGGGGGCAATGTATTAATTTGGGGGAAGGAGGGGGAACTGTATTAATACAGTGCCCCCTCCCTTCCTCAAATTAATACAGTGCCCCCTCCCTCCCCCACATTAATACAATGACCCCCTCCCTCCCCCACATTAATACACTGACCCCCAAACCCCTCTTCTCCTACCTTACAATTTGCTGTCCGTCCTCCAGCCCTGTTGAAGCAGGCCAGACGCTCCTCTGGCACTGCTAGCAGGAGGGAAGGGGGAGTGGCTGCTCTGGTCTGCTCAGCAGACACACAGCCACTCTGCCCTCTTGTGGCCGGGAGAGCAAGAATCTGGAAATATTTTTCCTGTCTTGCTGGGCGCAGCCACAGCTGAAAGCGGCCCCAGGGCAATATGTTCACTTTGGGCCGCATGTTTGACATGCTTGCTCTATGTCTTCACATATTTGGTACGTAAAGATGCAAATTGCTATGTTAGGAATGCATTTTTGTTAATGTAATTTTCCACACCGCTGTAGCACCTAATAATCCCTAGGATACTCCTATGATGTGAATCATGTATAACATTGAGAGATATAGCAGTCTCTCTCACTTATTCTGGTTTTATATCTGTTATCCTTTATGTTCTGATAGTTTACTCTGCAATTGGGCATTTTTTTGCTGAAAAAGCTCTATTATATGAAAACCTACATTTTGCAACATCTAAATAAATGTACATAATGCTGTTAAAGTACAATCCAGTAAGCATTTTGTTTTACTTTGGGATACCTAAATCGACCATTGATAAAAAGGAAACCATACATTTTATCAACATTTTAGGACAATTAGAGAGGGCTTTTCTCTGTTAGGTTGGATACTTTCTGCATTGACTGCTTTTCCTAAGCTTTGAACCATGCATGTGCACATACTGTATGTTTAGTCCGCTGTGTAAAAGTGTTTTGCATGTCATATCTTGCAGTCACATACTTGCTTTTTCAGCACATTCTGTCTGATTCTTAACTTAAGGGAGCTACTTCTTTATCACCCTACATTTTTTTCATGTACCACTTGGTTGATAAATACCTCACAATATATACTCTGCTTATTTGGTTTTTGTTCTCTTGTATTAATTAAATGTAGGCACATGTTTAATATTTCCTGAATGCAATGTGTTCTACACAAACTATTCCAGGGGTGTAGTGTAATAGTGGACATGTTTCTGACAGTCTGTTTTTAGTTTCACTCTCTTTAACAAAAGCTAGAAACTATGGAATTAAGTAAGCTTGGATTTATGTTTTCTTACAGACAGCCAGTCTGATGCTGATGCAGAGATGTCTGCTACAGAGATTGATGTGCTAGACCTGACTTCAGGGGAAAGGGATAAGTCAGAAGTAGTTCCAATAGTGGAAACTGAACATTTACCCAAGAGTGAGAAAACTGAAACAAACATGCTAGATAATGAAGAGGAAAACAAAGAAAAATCAGATGAATACAAGGAACACTTAGAGGATGATACTGTGAGCAACAAAAGTCTTGATCTGAATTTTGCCAGCAAACTGATGGACTTTAAATTGTCTGCTAATGAACAGAATGCCAACAGCAGCAGCAACTCCTGTGACATTTGTGGGAAAAGCTTCAAGTTTGCAGCTACACTGGGCAGACACAAGAAGGCCCATTTATGTGAAAATAAAGAAGAGAAAAGCAGTGAAGATGAGGGCAAAGGTTTATCTGATTCTCCCTGTGATCTTTCTCAACATGTCTCCAGCACAGATGGTGTGGACATGGAGGAAGATCTTCCAGTGGACTTGAAAGTGTCAAAATCTCCTGTGGAGAATGAGCTCTCTGGAAACCGGAAGGGTGATGGTGAAACAATGTCTGCTGAAGAAGGTCTAGAAAAGAAGTCATTGGACAAAAGTGATGATGACAAGGAATCCAAAGCAAATGAAACAAAGGGGACTTCCAAAGCAGACAAAAGAAAGAAGATCTGCACTGTGTGCAGTAAACGCTTCTGGTCCTTGCAGGATCTGACCAGACATATGAGATCCCACACTGGTAAGTAAATTTTGTGTTTACCTACAGTAGCTAGGGTCACTTTAAATGTATTTCTGATTTTGCAATATTGTAGTGTTATAGCTGCATTGCATCTCTTTTCCTTATTTATGTTCTGTGATGTAAACACATTGTACATTATTTTCAGGTCACTCAATATTGTATGTAATGTTTATGCAGAGTGAAATAATAACCTGTTAATCCAACCTGCTGCATTGATGTAGTTCACCACAAAACAATAGTTTCACTGCACAGGTGTTCTGGTGCCCATATTAACCTAGTTTGTTTTTGTATCTCCTTGTGTCCACATTAGGTGGCAGTGTGTTTCTGTGATTATGGATGAGTCTCATGATGAAATGAAACTTAAAGATATAGGAAAACCATTATGCTTAATTGTATTTTGCCAGGGTTACTTAATGGAAAGGGATGTTGCCAATATTATTTTATAGTTTTAATTGTTGCAGTGATCAATGTTTTGGTTTTTTTTGTTTGTTTTTTGTGTGTCAGTTCCAAAATATCAATGATACATTTTGTGATGCCTCCATTAAAGTTATCGGTTTCTATTTCTTCTAGGCGAACGACCTTATAAATGCCAGACCTGTGAACGCACTTTCACTTTGAAGCACAGCCTAGTGCGCCATCAGCGAATCCATCAGAAAGTTAAAGATCTGAAAAGTCAGGGCAAAGACAGTGAGAAGGAAGATCGGCAACTAAGATGTGAGGAAGAAAGTGATGCTGAATCCTTGCAAAGCAGCACCCAGCACACATCAGAAAATGAGTGTGACGCACCATCTAGTGTTACTCAGTCAATAACTAGAAGCAAAAAGGCACTATTGGCAAACACAGCTGGTGATGAATCATCTCAGAAAAGTGAAAATATTTCAGGTAGAAACACCCCAAAACAAGTTTCAGGGATAGATGGCATTAAAGATCCTGAAACTATGAGAACCTCTGAACGAAAAAGCCTCACAGGCTTCTCAAAAGAGTCTGAAAAATCTCCTTTGAATCACATTCTTGTTGCCGCAGAGAGTGCGTTGGCTGTGATGGAGGCTAAATGAGCCAGAGCTGTTAGGAACCCAGCATCTACCCTAAAATAAAATTGTATTCTATACAGTTTCCTTCAGCTACAAGGGAGTATGGCGGGCCATATCAAGTGCCATAACATTTTGGTAAAATGCAAAAAACTATACTGATTTTGAGTGCCTTACTACTTTACTACATTTTTCGGTATTGGACATTTTTTTTGAAGAATAATTAAAAACAAACAATAAAAACACTTGCTTAAAAAGTTACTTTAAAGAAATATTCAGAGATGACCTATTTCCATTTAAGCATTAAAAATATTTTGTCTATGTGTGAACAATTGTTCCTGTGCAACACTGTCTTTCCTGAGATAGGCACATGGTTGTGGGGGATGCCATTGATTACTACAGCCAATAACTGGAAGATAACGGATTTTAAATGGACAATGAAGGGTTATACAAAACTACTTATTTGTGTTTCCCTACTTTCCAGTTTTAGGAGTAGTGTTTTTCTTCTGCATTCATGGACTATATAATAAATGTCCTGTGTTTCATGGATGAAAGACCTTTGGATGCTGGATGAAGACCTTTGAAAATTGGCAGATGCTGTAAACCAGGAAAAAGGATATATAATATATAAAATATAGCATTGAACTTCAAAACTAGATTCCACTCAAGGTTTCTGAATGGTGTTATTGTTCAGTCTTTGTTCTACCTCAGAATGAACACACAGAGCATTCAGATGATATTTTGTGTTTAACACGTGGAAAGTGCTGCCCCCTGCCTATGTCTCAATTCTATTTGCTTGAATTCAACAGCTTACTAACCTCTGCATTTTGCAGAACTGTTTGGGCAATATTTGCCTTTTTCAAAATATACCAATTTTTTTTTTTTTTGTGGATCCTGGTAATATATACATGTATAAAATATATAAATATATACATTTCCCCCCCCTGGAATTCTAACCTTCATCAGTTCTTGTATTGCACCATTCCTACTGTACTGTAATCAACCCTGTTCTCAGTGAAAACAGAGGCTTGCATGCAATAGACTGAAAGCAGACTGACTTGTGCCGAGCTGGGTGATGGAGAGACCAAGGATCCCCCTAATTCTCTATCTTTGGGTGGTGTGGCACTCAGATGGACTGCAAAAACAAGCAAAAAGGTTCTGTCTTCCCACAATCATAAACAAAGCCTTACCTTCATCTTGCTGGCACCTCTTAATTCGGCAAGAACGTACTACTGGTATAAAGAGAAGCTAGATATCGCCGTTTATAAAGAGACTTTGTTCCTGAGGTATTTTAGGTTGGTGCCTGGAGATGATCTTTTGTTTGATTTCTTTATGTATGGTTGCATGGAGTATGTATGTGAGTGTGTATGTATATGTCATACACTTCGATACGCACTCATATAGATTGTTTGGAATATGAAATGTACTCTACTGTAGCAGTGCAATTTACTCTCCACTGTATATATTGTGATCTCTAAATCTCTGGAGAAGTGATTGAATGTATGCATATCTATATTTTGCTATTCAATCACATTTTAGCCATCCTCTGTAGACGTATTGTTCTGGAGGTACAAATCTAACCATTGGTGCTATAACATGGGAGCTCTAGAAGTAGCCTGTGCGATATTGCCTCTTGGTAACTATCCCAGCATTTTTTGTTTTAGAATAACCCAATTGATGTCATTATTCGTTCAAATACTATGGACCTCACAGAGGGTATTTTTGCTCCAGCAGAGTTGCACTATAAGATACAGATAAGCAGGCATGTAATTGTGCACTAATCACAAGACCTAAGGTAATATTTTGACCGAATTATGATGGGAAGCCAATAGCTACTGTAATACGAGCATACAATCACCATACCAGCTTGTTGCAAGATGCTAATGCAAAACAGAGTTCAAACCTGTACGATATTTAAGCATCATGTCATCCCAGCCAACCTCTCCAGAATAGCAATGCTTGACAATCAATTGACATGGCCAGTATTGCACAATAGCAGCTGGCATGCCTTGTGGATAAAGCTCAGAAAGACTGGGCTGTAAAAAGATATAA